TTGTCGGCAGACAGGCTACTGGGCTAGATGGACCTTTGGTCTGACCCAGTATGGCCATTTTTATGTTCTACTGCAGAGCAGCTGTAGAAGGTGAAGAGAGACTGAAGTTCTGGGAAGGACTTTCAAATTAGAGGGGGGAAATTGTTTGCCCCTCTGAAACTCTTAGGTATATTGTAAGGGCTCTTTGTAAATAGCTTCCTTCACAGAGGGGACTGCCAGACTGTCTCAGAGGTCCAAAGAGGCTCGGGCCACTTGCTGCTTTTGAGGCCCTATACATAATAAAAAAAAAAAAATTAAAAATGACAACACATGAAAACAAAAAAGGAACCAAAAATTAGATCTAATTTGAATATTTTATATTTAACAAATGATTTTCTAGCCTTTTGCAGCTCTAAGCTGAAAGTGTGTGTCAACCTGGTCTGCAGCTAAACATAGGCTGGCCCAGGGCCAGATGAAGGGGGAGGGGCTAGCCGGGCAGCTGCCCGGGGTGCCAACCTATGCGGGGCGCCTGACTGAAGTGGTAAGGGGCGCCGCATGCCCGGGGATGGGGCCACGCATGTGCCGTGCGCCCAGGGCCGTGGTGCCCCTTACCACTTCAGTCAGGCGCCCCGCATAGGATGGTGCCTGGGGGGCGGGGCCACGCATGCGCCTCGTGCCCTCTGCCCGGGGCGCAAGAATGGCTCAGGCCAGCAATAAAAAGAAGTTGTGAAACTGATGCCAAATGCCAAAAAATTAACAAGAGTCTAAATTTGATGCCCAGGCCAAATGGCCTTTTCTCTCTTTGGGATCGGCTGCTGTGATGTGTCCTGACTTCCTGAGCCATTGAGGCATACTTCCCACAGTTCTGATGAAATTCAGTCCCACTTTGAATCCCATAGCTAAAGTCAAGGAGAATGATTTGTTGCCCTAAACATTTCACATGGACTCACTCCCTCTATAATGCCTCTTTTCAGATCTGCAAAAGCAGGAAGAGCATGGAGAGTTGCTGCAGCCACTGATATTTATCTTACTGGTTCTGTGCTCTGTCTTGCTGTACTTTGCGGTGTCTTTCATGGATCCAGGTTTTGTTGAGTCTGATGAGGAAGAGAAGGTAAATCATTCTGTTAGCATGAATCATAGTTGACAGGAAGTGGGAACCAATCTTCCTGGTTATAAAACCTATAGATTTTTTTCTTTCCAACTTTCTAGATCGGGGTGGCCAACCCATTTAAATGAAGAGAGACGAAACAGAGGTGGAAAAAATGCAAAGAGCTACACCAGAATTGTTGAGAAAAAAAAAAAAAGGCTACTGTCCCTTTAAAGACCATGGGCCAGGCTTCCATTGGTCACTGCCATCTTGCCGCACCAGACAGCTCCCCTGCACCCAGTGAGCACTGGGGGCTGTTTGTAGGGGCGCATGGGGTGGCTTTGCAATCCGCACTTTCAGATGTGAAGAGCTGCGGGTTGGCCACCCCTGTGCTAGATAATCACAAATTTTTGTAGGTGCATTTATCATACTGTTCCCCCTTCTGAATTTCCCTTCACACTCACAAGCTTTTCCGCTTTGTCTTACTGAGCTGATGCATTCACTTGGCTCAGTGGGCTACAGTGCTCTGTAGAATACGAATGTTAAGGACTAGTCAACTATCTGATACGCAAATGCTTATCGAATGATCTACAGGATAGTTAACTAGTCGCTTCTCCCCCCCCTTGTTGTCTCTATCAGATAGAGGCAGCAGGGGGGGGGGGGAGAGGGAGTTACTTCAAAGCAGCAGAGCTGCACAGAGCCCACAGCAGTGACGTTTCAAAGAGGCAGCATTGCCTGGAGAGGACAATGCCGTCTGATCGACTAATCGAATAGTCAATGTAAAATGCATCGACTATTCAATTAGTGAATTAGATGATACTTAACATCCTTACTATAGAACAGATACCTACTTATGTTCACTCACTGCTGCCAATTGCATGCATATAGAAAACCAGGAGAGAGGTGTAAGCTGGAAGAAAACTGTATTTATAGCTGTATTTACTTTAACAAAGTAATCTGTTAATGTATCCCTCTTGAAAGATATATTTGTGCAAAAATTAGAAGAAAATCTCTCTAAGTAGTATACATTTATCCTTTATTAACATTCTTGGACACCTTTTCTTGCTTTGTATAAACAATTTAATATCTATTATCACTTTAATCCTTTCCAAAATTTAACTGAATTTTGTCTGTGTTTATGAACTAGCACTAATTCTACAGCAAATGCATATCCCTTGTATTTCGAGGCAGATAGAGCAGTCTTATTGCTATTTATGTCCTATGATGAGTCCTGTGTGGCTCCGTGCCAAAGTTTTCATCCTGTCTCCACACATTGGGTGATTGTCAGTTGCTAAAATAGTGCCAATCTCTGAACAGTTTTGTGTGTGTGTATATGTACATTGTATTAAGTTGGATCTCATGAGATTCTCTACATTGCTGAGGTTGTCATGCCATGTTGGGTTTTTATCCTTTACTTCTCAAGGAATAGTTCTCTATTTTTAATGTTCCTAAACCACAAGGGTACATCTACACAGCAACATTGTTTTGAAATAACTAGCGTTATTTCGAAATAACTTAGTCCACGTCTACACAGCAGGCAGTTATTTCGAAATAATGTCAAAATACTGTCAAGCTGGAGGATTTCTTACTCCCGACTCCTGTAACCCTCATTGTACAAGGAGTAAGGGAAGTCAGTGGAAGAGTGCTCTATTTCTAAATAAGAGCTGTGTAGATGCTCCCAATTTTGAAATAAGCTATTTTGAAATAAGCTACGCAGTCAACATAGTTCAATTTGTGTAGCTTATTTCGAGTTAAGCCCTGCTGTGTAGATGTACCCTAAAAGAGCTAGGACTGGTAATGACTATAATGCTGTAAAAAAAGAGATAGCTAACTAATGGTGGCTGAAACAAAAGACAGAACTATGTAGCACTTTAAAGACTAACAAGATGGTTTATTAGGTGATGAGCTTTCGTGGGCCAGACCCACTTCCTCAGATCAATTTGTGGAAGAAAATTGGCTCAACCATATATACCAAAGTGATACAATCAAAAAAATGAACACATATGAAATTAACAAATCAAATTTTAGAACAGAGTGGGGGTGAGGGGGGAAGGTTAGTGTCTGTGAGGTAATGACATTAGGGGTGATAACTGGGAAGCTATCTTTGTAACGGGTGAGATAATTAGAATCTTTGTTGAGACTTCAGGATCTCTACCAAGCATTTATAAACCTCAATTACCCACCCGGAGAAATAATAAAACAAATTGAAAGAGCCAGACGAATACCCAGAAACCATCTACTTCAAGACAGACCCAAGAAAACCAACAATAGAACACCACTTGTCATCACCTATAGCCCCCAACTTAAACCCGTCCAACGCATTATCAATAAACTACAACTTATATTGGAACAGGATACTACCCTCCGAGAAGCTCTGGGAGACAGACCCATAGTCTCCTATAGACAACCACCTAACCTCAGGACGATTCTTACCTACAACTACAGGACATACCACACTAATACCAACCCTGGAACTTTCCCTTGCAACAAACCCTGGTGCCAGCTTTGACCACATATTTACTCTGCTGACACCATTATTGGACCTAACCATGCCAGTTACAAGATCAAGAATACATATTCCTGTTCATCCAGAAATATAATTTATGCTATCATGTGCCTAAAGTGTCCGTCTGCTATGTACATTGGACAAACTTCTCAGAGACTTCGCCAAAGAATCAATGCACACAAAACAGACATAAGACTCTCTCACAGAGAGAAAGCTGTTGCCTGCCATTTTAGCCAGACTGACCATTCCCTCAATGACCTTAAAACATGCATATTGCTTCAAAGATATTTTAATTCCAGACTTCAAAGAGAAGCTTCAGAATTGTCATTCATGCTTATATTTGACACTTTATGTATGGGTCTCAACAAAGATTGTCATTACCTCACAGAAACTTCCCCTATTATCACCCCTAATGTCATTACCTCACAGACACTAACCTTCCCACCTCACCCCCACTCTGTTCTAAAATTTGATTTGTCAATTTCATATGTGTTCTTTTTTTTGATTGTATCACTTTGGTATATATGGTTGTGCCAATTTTCTTCTACAAATTGATCTGAGGAAGTGGGTCTGGCCCACGAAAGCTCATCACTTAATAAACCATCTTGTTAGTCTTTAAAATGCTACATAGTTCTGTCTTTTGTTTCCGCTAGACCAGACTAACACGGCTGCATCTCTATCACTAATGGTTGCTGAGACACTTTATATCCCTCTCTCCAAAGTCTGAAATACAAACTAACTTTTCTACTCATCCTTAGACTATGTCTACAGTAGGGATGTTAAAAAGCATTTATCTTGGTAAATGTATACCCACTGAAATTTTCAGCAGGTACATATTTACGTGCACTGCCCCCCTGTGCTACTGTCTCCATATCAGAGGCAGCAGAGAGAGGGGGCAGGAGCTGGCTCCCTAAGAGTACCAGCTCCCACCTGCCCTCCTACAGTGCTGCCTCTGATACAGAGGCAGAAGTGTGGAGGGAGAGTAGGCAGCTCACTGGGAGCCAGTGTCCACTGGGGCATGCTTAAAAGTCAGCTCCCTGTGAGCACCAGCTCCCACCTGCACTCCTCCCCCATGCTGCTGTCTCTGATACAGAGGCTGCAGCATGGGGGCAGGGGTTGCGTGTAACCATGAAGGTTAACCAATTATCCCAGGCTCACATACATGTACTTGCACTAGCTCTTATCAAGTTAGTGCAAAATATAAATATTAGCCATGCCAAATACCAGTTTCAGGTGGGTTTTTATTCAGGCCTGCTAATCTGTGCCTTTGCTGCTGCTTGTGTTACATGGCTGCACTACTATTTACACTCATGCTGGCTTGATGAAAGCTAGCATATGTATGTATGTGCAAACTGGGAATCATGCCCTTAGCTTACTGTATCAACAGTCCTAACTCCCCTCTTTTATCACCTTTTTGTAGGTAGGGGTGAATGAAGAACAAAGCGTAATGATGCCTCAACTTCCAAGCAATGTTCGGTTGCGGCGCTGTGGATATTGCATGCTGAAGGTAGGTATGTGTGTGCAACAGTTGGTCAAGGGCAGTGATGGGCAACCTAGCCTAGTGAGTGCACCATATTAGTGACCCTCCTTCATTTCAGTGGGCCACAAGATTATCAAAACTCACAGTCTTCTGAGAGTAGGTAGTTTTGCGAATTGCACTTTCGTACGTAGAATTTGCACAGTGTACCAACTAAAGTGTAGCAGAGCTTTGATTGGCTGTAGGAGTGCATGGCTCTCACAACTGATATTCTGTGCAAGAAGCGCACACCTCTCATTACATGCCCTTGCTTTGTGGGTGTGTCATTTAGTAATACCAGTAGGAAATAAACTACATGGATGGAAACCAGCAGAATCTGGCAGCCCTGAGCATGGACAATGGTAAACAAAATGCCTCATTGGCCACACACAGAATCCCGATGGGCCACAGGTTGCCCACCACTGATCGAGGGATTGGAATGACTGCTTAGTGAGCTGATATTCATGTGGCTACCTTATATTCTGTTATTGTCCAGCATGCTGAACAGATAGAAGGCATCACCCATTTCATGTAAACTTACATTCTCATCATCTTGATGTAAAAAGCAAAAGCAGGAGCAGACAGAACTAGAAACTTTGATTCAGGTACATGAAAGGTGATTCAGGCAGAGAGTGTAATTAAACATTTTAAAATGGGAAACTTAATTTTTAAGATTAAGAAAATTAATCCTTGGAAGTTCAGAGAAACAAAGTGCTGCTCTCTCCACACTGGGGAAAACCCTGCTTCCTAGTTGCCATGTCAACTAAGGCCTTCTCCCATCTTCAGAGACATAATTTGAAAATATGCTCGTAAAGTCAAAAGGTGAAGTTCATCTGGGGGAACATGTAAAGTGTGAGCAGATTGCTGGCTGCTATGATCTTATTTAGATGCATAGGAGCAAAGAAAAGTCACTTTTAACCATTTAAAAACATAGTCTGCTCTTTTTTCTACTTCTTGCAATTAGATTAGTTCTTGAAAAGGGTGAGCATTCATCCCAGAAATGCCTGTTTACAGTCACAGTCCTTGTCAGTTTCATGCAGGTTTGTTCCTGCTTCTGTAAATACCTGAAGACTGACTGGAAGAAGAAGCTATCAGCCAGTTTGTTGCTGAAATAGATAAGAGACTAGAGCATATGTGTACTTGAAGGTTATACCCTTAGCTGGCATGTCACCTGTTGAGATGATCCCTTCTCTAACTATACTGCCCCATTAGCCCTTGAACCCACCTTTCTCCATATATCGGCGGAGGAATAGATATTTCTGTCCTACCCTTTCATCCATGTGTCCAGGAAGATTAAAAAAAAAAAAGCATTTCCTTGTACACGCTCAAAACATTCTCTTGAGTGGCACTAGTTTTTCACCATCAGACTCTGATAATCTTTTTCTTAAATATCCACATTGAGCTTTTGTTTCAGCTGATTCCTTCCCTTATGTGTTTGCAGCTTTATTCTGTAGCTAGTTAAGGGAACTTTTATAGCAAATATTGGCCATGGGTCATTTTACCACTGTCTTTCTGTTCCCCATCTGTAAAAGAGGGGTGATAATCTCCTTTGTAAGGCATTATGCAAGTATTACTAAAATAACTGCTATTTAAGGGAGAGCGGGGGGAACTGTTTCACTTTGCAGAAGAAGTGACCTGGGATGACTACCCATCTATTTTCTATGAAACAAGGCGTTGGATATGGGTAGACTATTCTTAGTATCTGCTTATTTCACAGCAACCAATGAGAGCCAAGCACTGCCAGCTGTGTCGGCACTGTGTACGTCGCTATGACCATCACTGCCCCATGATTGAGAACTGCATAGGAGAGAGGAATCATCCATTCTTTATAGCCTACCTGGCTGTGCAGCTTGTGGTTCTCTTGTGGGCCTTTCACATTGCATGGTAAGCACTTTAAATGGCAGCCTCTGCCAGGGACAGTTGACCATTGGGGTCTTGAGAGTTTTGATGAGATGGACATTCCAAACGCCTACTGACTGGTTTAGGTAGAGCAAGATAGCAATGGCATTCACATGACATGGTCTCTCCTTGCCTGCATGCTATAACCAGCTTTCCTGATAGCACCTCTCTGATTATTGCCACGGAGGAGTAACATAGCCACTTAATAGGGTGCTCCTTAAAACAGTGGCTCTCCATGTTTCCAGACTATTGTACTCCTTTCAGGAGTCTGATTTGCCTTACATACCCTCAGGTTTCACCTAATTTTAAAACTACTTGCTCACAAAATCAGACATAAAAATGTGTCACAACACACTATTACTGAAAAATTGCTTCCTTTCTCATTTTTACTATATTATTGGAATAAAAATATATACTTTTGTATAGTATACAGAGCAGTAAAACAAGTCATCTGTATGAAATTTATATGGCACTAGTGCTTTTTATGTAGCCTCTTGTAAAACTAGACAATATCGAGGTAAGTTGATGTACCCCTTAGAAGACCTCTGTGTAACCACTGTCTTAAAACACTTAAAGCTTGAGTCCATTCAGGAAGTGGGAACATATGGGCAAGGAAATTGTAGAATGGGGGATTATTTGAAGAACCGGAAATGTGAATTGACTTAATTAAATTGCCCCAAATGATGTTACCTGAGTTAGAGCATGTAAAACCAGATATATAGGACAGACACTCCCCTGATAAATAAGAGGAAAATAGTCTTGCTTGCAATACAACCTTGACTTTTCCGGAGGTTACAGAAACATCAAAACTTCTGGACAAAAAGAAGCAGGCTTTGGCATCTGGAAACAGATATATTGCATTTAAAGTCAGCTGCCATTCTCTGTACTTTGTGTCAGCACTAGGGGACTTTCAACAGAGATATACTGTTGATAGAACTCAGGTGATTAGTTATGCAGTTTGTTATTTTGGGTTGTAAAGGTTCAGAGGGCACAAAATAAATGAATAAAGTAATTTTGCTTTGTTGGTGACCGTTTAACTTTCCTTAATTAATTACTGTGCAATCTATATTGATAAATGGGCAGTAGGTGAAACTCCCTATAAACTATTTTGTTAGTGTCTCCTGGAATTGTACTCTAAGAGCTCTTTTCCTGCCTTGTCAGTTTACTCTCAGGACAACTTAATTTTAATAGAGGTTTTAGATAAAATCATAGAATACTAGAACTGGAGGGGACTTTGAGAGGTCATCGTGTCCAGTCCCCTGCCCTCATGGCAGAACCAAGTACCGTCTAGGCCATCCCTGATAGATGTCTGTCTAACCTGCTATTTAATATCTCCAGAGATGGAGATTCCACAACCTCCCTAGGCAATTTATTCCATTGTTTAACCACACCCTAACAGCTAGGCAGTTGTCCAAGACCTTTTTCCAGTCTGTTTCATTGTATTCAGAATTTAGCTTTATTTTGAGTCTTGGTGCAGCAGCTCCTGCCAAAGTTTATGCAATGGTTTGAAGCTATAAAACACTGCAAAAGCTATAAAACACAGCAGAAATTATCAGTTGAGAGCAGTGTTCCCTCTAAGCTGCATGGCAGCACAGCTGCTCAAGTGATTAATCAGCCCTGGCCAGTAGGTCTGCTCTGTGCATAGAGCCCTAAGCCTCTGACTGGGTGGGGCTGATGATCACCTGTGAATCATAGAGCTGAAAGAGACCAAAGGGGGTCAACAAGTCCAGCCCCCAGCCCAAGGCAGGACCAATCCCAACTAAATCAACCCAGCCAGGGCTTTGTCAAGCTGAGACTTAAAAACCTTTAGGGATGGAGATTCCATCGCTTCCCTAGATAACCCATTCCAGTGCTTCACCACCCTCCTAGTGAAATAGTTTTTCAACTATTTGAATAACCTAGACCTCTCCCACTGTAACTTGAGACCATTGCTCCTTGTTCTGCCACCTGTCACTACTGTGAACAGCCTTTCTCCGTCCTCTTTGGAACCTCCCTTCAGGAAGTTGAAGGCAGCTAACAAATCCCCCCTCACTCTTCGCTTCTGCAGAATAAACAAACCCAAATCCCTCAGTCTCTCCTCATAGGTCATGTGCTCCAGCCCCCTAATCATTTTGGTCACCCTCCGCTGGACCCTCTCCAATGTATCCACATCCTTTGTATAGTGGGGGACCCAGAACTAGACACAATACTGCAGATGTAGCCTCACCAGAGCAGAATAAAGGGGAATAATCACTTCTCTGGATTTGCTGGCAATGCTCCTCCTAAATGCTGTCTCACAGCTTAGAGGGAACACTGGTTGAGAGTGCAGTATTTACGGGTCAAGCTGAATATTTGTATAATATATCTTCTGTTTTGTATCTAACCCAGTTTGACTTAGCCATGTTTCTCTTTTAATTGAAAGGTCAGGCCTTTATTTTGAACAGTCTTGGGAGTGGCTGAAGCACAACATCTTTCTTCTCTTGTCCTTCCTCTTGATAGTCATATTCACCATTGTAGTGATGCTGCTGCTGGTTTCACATTTGTACCTAGTGTCATGTAACACAACCACCTGGGAATTCATGTCACGCCATCGCATCTCCTATCTCCGACACAGTGAATCAGAGAACCCCTTTGATCAAGGTGTCATTCTCAACCTCTGGAGATTCTTCTGTGCCTGCCACCTGATTACATGGGAGAAAATATACTTTCAGGAGGACAGTGGCCCTGTTTAATTACAGAATGTAAATTCATCCAGGATTTAATTATGTAATCCAAGTTTGATTACAGAAAGGAAAATGACAATTACAAGATGCGCAGATATGCATGTCCTCTTACTGCATTAATCATTCAGGTTTTAACTGACAGAAGATATGTGAAAATAGGTGGCAAAGAGGCTGCATCTCAGGGTACATATGTACGAAGGGCTTTAAGAACGGAATTTAATAGCAGGGACAACCTCAGTGAGATGTTAGAGAAAACACTTGTGTGGTAACCCATTTCCAGCTGCTTCAGTGGGAATTCAGTTCATAATGAACCATGCAACAATTTGTACAATGGTCCCATCCACAGGAGCAAGTCTGTTTACAAGAAGATTAACCATGGAGCCACCCTGCCACTCATTCTTCATATCCAGATAAAAATAACTTTTATTAAAAGGGACTCCTTGGTTCTGGGTAGCACCGACGGGGTGAATGTGAGTGGATGCGTACACTGCTCCTTTACCTCTTTTTGCAGCCATCAAACCTATTGAGACAAATGCAGAGACAGCCTGAATAGCTGCTTCCACTTATTTCACTAAGGTTTGAGCTTTACTACCGATTGTCTGCCTAAGAAACAGATGTTACACACCAAATTCAAGTTTTGAATTTGTTAAACTTATGCTTTACGGTTATGTGGCTACTTAGGTACAAGTGAACAAAACACCACAATTGACAAACATAATGCAGACCATAGATTCAGTCATTTGATATAGAAATTCACAAGTTTTCAGTGAATGTAGATTTCTCAGATTAACTGTTTTTGTCAACAGACAAAAAAAATTGTCAACTGCATTATTTGTACACACCACTTATTCAGAGCTCTCACCTCTAGCTTGTTTGAGAAAAGCCTCCCTCAAAATATTGTTCCAATTATATAAAACAGTAAATGGATGAGTGGCAGTGAAGAGAAGATATTTATGAATGCCCTGAGGTGGTTTTTAACTTGTAACAGTAGGCTGGAGACAGAATTCTTATTTCCTTGCCTAGCCGGAGCAACTTTACTAATATTACTGCTAAATCCATGTCTTTATGCTGTTTTCTCTATACTATATTTAATACTCTTAGGCTATGTCTACACTGGCAGGTTCTTCCACAAGAACATCTTGCGCAAGAGTTCCTGCACAAGAACACGCCATATGCTTTTGCGCAAGAGCATCCATGTGGATGCTCTTTGCGCAAGAAAGTTCTGATGGCCATTTTAGCCATAGGGCTTCCTTGCGCAAGAAACCCCTGCCCCACAGCCACATTTGCGCAATAGGGCTTACACTTTTTAGAAGAGAGCATAGCTGTTGCGCAAAAAGCCCTCTCTTCCCATGCTTTACTTGCGCAAGAGCGGGCGGGCTGTGTGGACGCTCTATGGGATCTTGCGCAAAAACCTGCTAGTGTAGACACAGCCTTAGTTTTTTAATTTATTTACTTTGTAATCAAGAGGCTAGTCTTTTTTTTTATTTGTAAAGCATTAAAACATGTGCAGGTACTGTATTAAGGATACCCAAAAGATTACTATTTAACAAATATCCATTTTAATCTAAAATAACTTAATTTCTTGAGCTTTAAGCAGCATGAACAGTGAAATGAACCTGTAATTAGTTTAAATTACAAATTACCAGATGCCATTGCAAAGATAGTCCTCAGCCTCAAAAAAGGAAAGCCTTTCTGCACTGAATTTTAGTCCTGAAAATATTTCTAATTATAAGGTTTTGTAAAAATTCTCTTATGCTTATTTGGTGCCTTAGTATCTTTCATGACTCAGGGGTTAGCACTTGACACAAATGGATGGTTGTCACATTGTCAGATTGCACTCAGCTTCCAAGATAGATAGGCACTCCTAGAATACTGTTTTACTTTGAAAAGGCAGCTCAGAGCCAGGAGGGTTTATGTATGTCTGATACCAGAAAATCATTGCAGATCCCTTAGGACTAGGACTGTGTCTTGTACAGAGCAGAACACACTATCATCCCAGTGGAATATCAATATCAAGATAGGATCTTTCTGGATTGTACGTTACCATTAGGAAATGATTATGGAATTAGAATTTTGTTAAGAATGTTGTTCTGCCAGACTAGAGTTCACTTCACATTTAACTGTGTTGGGGTCAGTTATCACATGGAAAAAAAATAACTATCAGCCTAAATACTGAACTGAATACGCTCAAGTTAGATGTTTGATGGGGTGGTAAATTTTTTAAAAATGCCTGGGTTGCTTATTTAAACAGTTTAAATGCTATTAATTGTTGTTTTTGACACAATCATTAAAAGATTAAATCTAGTTTTTGCTGTTCTCTGTACATTTTTCAGCTTTAACGCTCAAGAGCAGAGTCATCTGGTTCTCTTGCAGAAGCACTATGCTGCACATTTTAATCCATTTCGAATGGCATAGTCCCATGATTTTTTACTCTCTTGACATTTTAAAGTTTCTACAAACACATGTGGGAACAAATGGGAGCAGACTAATGCAGACATGTACCTTGACAATCTTACAGCCAGTTTAGGAGGAGATAATTGGTAGTGTGTGTCAATTTCCCTTTACAAGAGATACAGCAGTAGTTATACCTAGTGGCTGTGTCTACATTGGCATCCCTTTCCGGAAAAGGGATGCTAATGAGACGCTTCGGAATTGCAAATCCGCGGGGGATTTAAATATCCCCCACGGCATTTGCATTTACATGGCTGCCGCTTTTTTCCGGCTCGGGGTTTTTGCCGGAGAAAAGCGCCAGTGTAGACACGATTTTCCGGAAAATAAGCCCTTTTCCGGGAGATCCCTTATTCCTTCTTGAAAGTAGGAATAAGGGATCTCCCGGAAAATGACTTATTTTCCAGAAAATCGCATCTACACTGGCGCTTTTCTCCGGCAAAAACCCCGAGCCGGAAAAAAGCGGCAGCCATGTAAATGCAAATGCCGCGGGGGATATTTAAATCCCCCGTGGATTTGCAATTCCGAAGCGTCTCATTAGCATCCCTTTTCCGGAAAGGGATGCCAATGTAGACACAGCCAATAAGTGCAAGACTGGGTGAGCAAAGATAAGTGGGGGCTGTTTTTCTTCCACAAACAGACGTACACTAATGCTCTTACCCTAGGTAACTCCTTGAGTGCATCAGCTAATCTTGATTTAATGGGGACTCCTCTCTGGTTATGCCCAGATCCCATCTTCAGGAACACCACAATCCTTCATTGGTATATAGTGCTGTCTATCCCTGTAGGTAAAGGCTAAAGGTAACATATTGATGTAGCTTTTTCAAACCTTCATAAGGGATATTTCTTCTCTAGCCCACTAGCCAAAACCACAAGCAAAAGTGCTGTTCCATATACATAGTAACAACCATAAATGTGTGGCAGTCAAATTTGCACTTTCAAAGTCGCAACCACGTTATTTCCCCAGTAGCTTATGAATGAGTCATCCTCATGCTTCTCACTTAAAACAGTTACTATTTTTGACTTGCTAGTCATAAGAGCTAGTTGGAGGGAGGCAACAATACTCTGCAAAATAGTTTCACAGTCAGAACTTAATGTGTAAATAGTAATTATAAATACCAACTACAGCATTGCTACTATAAAAACCTCACACCCACTTAATTTCTTTGTACAGACACACACTTCTGCATTTTGAATACCAAATAAAGTTGGTCTTGATATCATTATTCTATATTTAGGCTGTTTTCTAGTCAAGAGTTGTTTCAATCAATATTTTTTTAATTTTTCCAGCATTCACAATATTTTATATTGAGAAAGATACAGTACATACATAAAGTAAATATAAACTGTGTAGAAATAGCCTGAGTGCAATCTTTAAAGTGACATACATAGCCCCAGTAAAGGCAATATAAACAGGACATAGCCAAGCAGCTGCAGACACAAGAGACTCTTATGGAAGGAAGAAGGAAAGGGGAAAAAGTATTAACATTAGTTAGAGAGAAAAAACATTCTCTCTGTTAAACAGAAGATCTCCCTGCTCCTGAGATGTTCTAAAAAGCCTGGGGGGTGAAAAACAAAATTTCATCGGAAGCAGGGCTGGCAACAGATTTTGCTGGGCCCTGCCTGGGAGGGGAGGGGGAAGAAGGGGTTGTTTCAGCTCAACCCCTTGAAAGGGGCAGGGCCTCGGGTTAAAGAGGTGACATTAATGTCAGCCAGCCATCAGCATCACCAGACTGTGTTGTGCCTCAGCCCGCGCTGCCTGGACTTTGCTGAGCGGGACTCCGGTGGCAATTTAAAGGCCCCAGAGTTCCGGGCTGCTGCTGCAGTAGGAATGGTAGCTGCTACTCAAGAGGCCCAGACCCTTTTAAATCAGCAGGCCCCAGGACAACTTCCCCCTTTTAGTACCTCCCATTAACAGCCCTGATCAGAAGAGAGAGTCTCTTTAACTTACCATAAACCATATGTGTACAATTTGTCCAGTTTTTACAAAAGACAGGAATTAAGATTTACTAGTAGCAGGATAGTGGAAATAATTTGTTTTTTCTACATAGCAAGGTTAAGATCTCTGCTTATAATGTCTGGACAGTTTTCAAATTCAAACTTCATCATTCTGGTCACATACTAAGCCACAACACCCCCCAAACTGCGCTTAAATGCCTTGCAAAGAAGAAATAGGCTGTGTCTAGACTACATCCCTCTTTCAAAAGAGGGATATAAGTTAGACATTCAGAATTGCAAATGAAGCTGGGATTTGACTTTCCCATGCTTCATTTGCATAATTGCATCACAGCATCTTTTTCCCCCTCAAAAAATGCTATTTCAAAAGTGAAATTGCGGTCTAGACGCAGTTCTTTCGAAAAGAAAAGCCTGTTTTGAAAGATCCTGTAAACCTCATTTTGGATCTTTTGAAAAAGTCTTTTCTTTGTGAAAGAACCCTGTCTAGATCGCGGTTTCACTTTCGGGGATCTTTCGAAAAAGTCTTTTCTTTGTGAAAGAACCGTGTCTAGATCGCGGTTTCACTTTCGAAATAGCATTTTTCAAAAAAACGCCGTGACGCAATTATGCAACTGAAGCACGGGAAATTTAAATCCCGGCTTCTTTTGCAATTTCGGTATGTCTAATTTACATCCCTCTTTCGAAAGAGGGATGTAGTTCAGACATACCCATAGTGTGCCAGTTCTTTTGCTGCTGTTCTGGTGCTGAGAAAGCTAAGCAGCCTGCAAGATCCCACTACAGAGGTAGGAGGAGTTTGTCCGGGGAGGAGGGAAGGCTCTATTTCATTCAGATACATTGCTAAATTAAATTCTGTTTAAATTGTGAGTGCCCACCAATATCTAATGGTGGCCCGAGTACAGCCAGGTACTTTTTTAAAAACGCAGCTAGCAAGCTTGAACTTTCCTAAAAATCACATCCCGTAGTTCTCTCCCTACTACCATGTGCACAATATAGTAGAGCAACCAGCTTGCAGAATATGCTTTCTAAAATATGTAATACTACCAGAGCAATGAATAATCGTATGTCCATTATTAAGCTGACCTTCCATAGTCAGTGTCAAGTCCCTCTAGGATCTCTCAGGGTCTAAATCATCCATGGCTTACAGGATTGCAATCAGACTTCCAGAAGGTGTCTGGAGACAAAGTCAAAGTCCTTAAAGGCAGCTTGTTCCTCAGAGGAGAGGACAGGAATCTCATCTGGAGGAGTCAGGATTGGCTTCTGGGAGGTAAACTCTTCATCAAAGTTGCTAATGTCAGTGGGAGCTTTTAAGGAAGGCACAAAAGGGGGCTTCAGTTCTCTGGCAAACAAAGCATCCCAGTCAATCACCTGTAAATAGAGGAAATTACAAAACCATATTGGTACTAAGAACTGACCAATAAATTGTGAGACAGTAGATAGGAAAGTGTGTTGTTTTCTTCCTCCCTTTCAGATCAGCTGCAACATACCTGATTTCTACAAGGCTAGAAAAAGAGGAGAGCCAGGATTTCTACAAGGCTAGAAAAAGAGGAGGAGAGCCAATATAATCAAAGTGAGGTGCACCATAGGAAATAGGGAGATGACTCTAAACCAGTCTTCCATGAAATCTAAGGCTGCTTTTCAACTGCTCAGACTGTTTTCAACAGAGGAAAAAAAACCAAACCATATGTTCTTATCAGAAGACCATTAAGCAGTGCTCTGTATAGGATCTATCCAAAGGAATATTTTGGCATAACTCTTTATAAATATTAGCATTTATGGCAGGATAGCCCTGGATACTGAGAGCGCTCAATTGTGTTATACAGATGGTTTCAGTATTCAAAGTGTTAGTTCTCAGTGGCCTTCCTTGGCAACGTATAGATTATAGCACCCTTTCCATATTCCTTCATGAAGACATGGACAGTTCAAATTTATATTCTAATTGCATTATCCTTCCTCCCAAATTCAGAGATGGTGCTTGCCAGACAGAGAATCTGTATGATGGTGCCTGCATCCGTCTATTCACATCAAGAGAATTTCCATGCTATAGGGGAGATGTTTGATTGGATCCCTGAAATTAAGAGGTTGGGAACATTTAAGATTCATTTTAGAGCACCACATATTGAAATAAAGATCCTATGTCTGGAAACCTAACAGTTTTAGATCAAGATGTTCTGAAAACTTGTTATGGAGACATATGTTTGGCTATAGTGACCATGTGTGCTATTAAGATTCTCATTTTTTTACCAAAAGAAACAGGCAAGTTTGTTTCTATACAAATAGCTCTCCTTCAACTCAGACTTATGTGCATAGAGGAGCACAAGCTCTTACCCTGAAAAAGGGCTGAGTTTTAATCTCCTCTGCATCCCTTTCTCCTGCCCCAAGGCGACGTTCTGGACATTTCTGGAGAAGCTACAGGAAAGACCAATAGACACATTCAACACATGAAACAAGTAGGGACATGAACAATATTCCAGTTTGGAAACAGGAGTAATCGTCCAGGCTCTTCCACTTTCTCCCTTCATTGCAGGGTCATAACCAGTCAGCACTAAATTCTAGTTCATTATAAACCACCCATTAATATTAATGGGGTGAATCCACTGTGGATTCTATGTAATCAAACACACCAGTGATGGGCAACCTATGCTAGTGAGTGGGCCGCATGAGTGACCCTTCATCTCAGTGGGCTGAAAGACTGTCATAACCAGGACGGTCTCCCAGGATAGGATAGTTTTGCTAACTGTACTTGCATACCTAGAATTTGTGGGGTATGCTGACTGAACCATAGCAGCACTTTGATTGGATGCAGAGGGCTCTCACTGTCAATATTCTGTGCAATCAGCACACACCTCACTTCACGTGCCCTTGCTTTACCTGTGTGACACTTTAGTAATACTGGCAGGAAAAATACTATGAGGAAGGAAATCAGTGGAAATTGCAACCCTGTGCTTGAGCCACACATAGAACCCAATTGGCCACTGATAATCAAAAATGATCTGCAAATAATTAAAAATGGAATTCAGCCCTATCCACAGAATGAGTCTGACATCCCCACCCTCAAGTCATTTAATGTCTGTCCATTTCAGAATTGGCAGGATAGACTCCAGTCGAAACCTGGCTTAATCCTCAATGGCTATACAGATGACATGTATGTATTGAAGTGTCAAGAATGAGAAATTAAGAGATGAAAGAGTAGGTGTGGGTGGATTTTAAGGGCTCCCTGTAGGATATGTGGACACTTACGGAGGGCTCCCTGTAGGATATGTGGACACTTATGGAAGACCACACACACACACGGAAATACCATCTATTTAGAAGAATCTCTCTCTGACTCTACTTTTGCTGAGGCCTGAGTAAAGCCTGTCAGTATCCTAGCTTCCAGGGAAATTACATTGCAGTACCTTGTGGAGTATGGATCGTGCCTCAGAAGAAAGGAATTGCGGATAGCGGACCTCTTCATTGACAATGCTGTCAAAGACCTCCTCTTCATTATCTCCAGGGAATGGAGACTGTAGTGAAGACATGTTATTATCAGACTTACATAGTATCAGTATCCTATTGTTTGTCACAAGATGAGGATAATAATAATTCAGAGTTTTGAAAGGTTTAGCTAGTGTTTGGCAAGTGCTTTGAATGAGGAAAACTTGACCATTATTGGAGAGAATAGAATGGAGAATGTTAGGCTGACTTCAAATCACCACAAAAGTAATTAGAGAAATCATACTTTGAATGCAAGGTGACCATAAAGATATACTTTTATTCACTCATAAATTAAGAGCAGTTAGATACACCCATCCCATGACCACGCATGTTATGTGGTGAGGCCCACCTCTCCCTTGTCCCAAAGGAAAATAATCTTACCTCACCAATAAGCATCTCGAAAATGAGCACACCTAGCCCCCACCAGTCCACTACCCGGGTGTATGAGGTGTCTGTCAAGACTTCTGGAGCCAGAAATTCAGGGGTGCCACAGAAAGTCTTAGTGCAGTCCCCAAAACCCATGCCTGTGGAGAAAATTTCTTTATGAATACACTACACACATGCCAAGTTGGTTATGCTTCATCACCAACAGACAATTTCTTTATGAATACACTACACACATGCCAAGTTGGTTATGCTTCATCACATTTTCTGGAACCCCACAGACAATGTAGGTGACGACAGCAGAGATGGGCAGAACCCTCAAAAAGATGGCGATACTGGATCATGAACAACATGGCTGAGGATGGCAGAGACAGGTGCACAAAAAGAGGAGAATTGGCATTAATACATTAATCCAAGTGGGATCTGCTGCTGACCTTGTTCTTGCCCACCCATGTTCCATGCACCTTGAGGAAGCATGGAGTCTTCACTAAGGTATATGTGCCAACTCCATGGGTGTTTGGGGCTGGAGCAGCCATATAGAAAAATTAGTGGATGTTCAGCAGCCAGCTTTCTCCTCTCACCCAGCACTTCCCTCCCACCAGCAGACCTACTAATTAACTGTTCCCCCTCCCTTCCAGAGTCTGTTCAGGAGGCCCTTGGAAGGAGGGGGAGCACTTTGGAGAGGGCAGGGACAGAGTTGAGGGTGAGGTCTGGCATGGAGGTGGGAGGTGTCCAGTCCCCCCAGCTACAGGGGAAGTCGGCATCTATGCAGTAAGGACTCCAGCACCTTGTCTTTTCAGTATTTCTAAGGTGAGGCACAAAGAATGTGAAAGACATTGTTTATTTAAACAAGGCAAAGAAACTTCCTGCAGTCACAATTATCATAAGACTATATAGCAAGGACAAGGCCCTCTGCAGGAAAACAGGTCTGTATGATGGTACATCCTGGCTCCTCTAAAAAGTCAAGTGCATTATAAACCATAAATTACCCAGAGAGAAGGAACAGGAACTGCTCCTAACTTTATTGAGGTCAGATGGGATTTCTTTTAAGTGGAATTAAACAGTTGGATTAGCTCAGGAATCCCATTAGCTGTGTTTGTGAACATGTTACCAAACCCTACGTCCTCAATTTCTCAAGCAAGGCTGATAGTTCAATCTCAGAACCATCCCAAATTGCTCACCTTCCTTACACAGCCCAAAATCTGCAATTTTCACAAAGCCCTCAGCATCTAAGAGCAAGTTATCCAACTTCAGATCCCTGCAGACAGAGGAGAAAGAGAATAGAGAGTGAAGTTTGGGAGTTGGCTGTTAGGAGGAAGAAAGTAGAATCAACACTGAATAGAGACTGCATTTGCACAAATACTATGGTTGCGGCTACATTTACCGGGGGAATGCTGATTGATCCCCCAGGAATCAGTTTAGTGCAGTAGTCTCCAACCTTTTTAACCACAAGCTCATTTTTTCAATTTAAGAGCAATGTAAGATCTACCTCAAAACCGAATACTCCTGCCCCATTTCCTTTCCACCCCTTCTTTGAGGCCTTACCCTGCTCACTCCATCTCCCTTCTTCCCCCATCCTCCCTCACTTGCTCCAGGCTGGGGAAAGGGTTGGGGTGCAGGCTCTGGTCTTAGGCCAAGGGTTTCAGTGTGTGGGAGGGGCTCCGGGCTTAGCCCAGGGCAGAGGAGTGGGGTCCAAGAAGGAGTTTGGGTACAGAGTGTGTGGGGTCTGGGGCAGGAGGTTGGGTGTAGGAGGAGGTGCAGGGCTGGGACAGGGGTTCAGGATGCAGGCTCTGGTTGGACACCGTTTAACTGAGATGGGTTCCGGGTGGTGGAGCAGTGGAGTTAAGGCAGGTTTACTCCTGCTCTGGCCCTGTGCCACTCCTATAAGCAGCTGGCTGGACAGCAATGACTCCATGGCTCCATGTGCTGCCTTTCATCTACTGGCACTGAGCCCACAGCTTCTACTGGCCACGATTCCCCATTATTGATCAATGGGAGCTGCAGGAGTGGTGTCTGCAGGCAAGAACAGCATGTGGAGACCCCCTGCTCTGCCTTTCTCAGGGGCTGCAGGGATATGCCAGCCACTTCCAGGTGCAGCAATGACCACAGGGATAATTACTCTAGCCAGGACAAGTTAGGCATTTTAGAACTCACTACTCAAATAATTACATTTAAGTGTGAGTGAAATACAAATTATGAAATGCACAGACCAGTCCAAAAGAAAAAATAACCCAGTTTGCAAACAGTAAAAGTAATAACAACAACCCCCGCGTATGTGTTGGGTTGGGAGATGAGAGTGAAGAACAGTGTGTGTTTGTGAGAATGACTGATGCACACACAGTGAAGAACAGTGTGTGTTTGTGAGAATGACTGACGCACACACAGCGTGTGGGGGTGACAGAGATTTGCATTGCCAACTCCCTCCATTCCCTTTTCTCTGTGTGGAGATAGGGTACATGAGTAGGGGCAAGGGAGGACACTCGCTCCATTCCCTTTTCTCTGTGTGGAGATTGAGTAGGGGCAAGGGAGGACACTCCAGGTACGTCAAGACTACATGGCTCCGTCGACGGAGCCATGTAAATACTGTGTACAGATGTGGTCTCCTCACTTCAAAAAAGATATTTTGGCCTTGAAAGGGTTCAGAAAAGGGCAACTAAAATGATCAGGGGTTTGGAACAGGTCCCATATAAGGAAAGGCTAAAGTGACTGGGACTTTTCAGTTTGGAAAAGAGGAAAATGAGGCTTACAGGATCGGTTGGCAAAGGCTTCCCTAGCTAACTGATCCGCATCTAGACGACTGCACTGTGCCGGATCAGCTGATCGTCGGCTCAGCACAGCGGCCATTTTTATTTTAATGAAGGGGGGATTATTTAAATCCCCGTTTTTTTGACTATGCCAAGTAAACTACTTTACATGGCTCTGTTGACGGAGCCATGTAGTCTAGACGTACCCTCTGACATCAAAGCTCTGCCTCTTCTCCCTCCCACACCCTGCACAGCAAGCTGGAGGCTTCCAGGAAGCAGCTCCAAAGCAGAGGGCAGGAGCAGCATGACAGTGGGTGAAGGGGCAACTGATGTACCAGAGCTTGAAAGCTTTCTGGCCAAACCAATTGGTATCACCTGTCAGAGGCTTCAAGATCTACTAGTAGTTCCCGATCTACTGGTTGACCACTAGTTTAGTGGGTCTAGTGACGACCCACTAAATCAGTTTTTCCCAATTTTATTTGGCCACAGAACCCTTTTAAACTCAAAACGATTTTGTGGAACCCCTAATAACAGTCTCATATATGGAGCTGAAAAAGTAGACCACAAATAAGTAAGGACAGTAATGAACAAATGCTAAACAAGGTCATGAGATCAACATTTAGTTTAATTGCACATTTTAACAGCATCAGAAAATGGCTGTGCAAGGAGGGGCCAGGATTCTCCTGGAAAGAGGACATAGTACTGCCATTCAGTTCATCGCTGCTTCAGAGTGGATGGCTCACTGGTAAAATGTTTGACAGTTTCTTAATAATATTCTTGTGATGGGGCATTCCATATTCTTAATATGAATGACATAACTGGAATATGTTTTATGCAAAATATCATTGGAAAGGTGGTGAGTTACTGAATGTGTTTATCCTATTTGTATGCATGTATCATTTCTGTATCTGAAGTTAGGAATATTGACTGTAGATTTATCAATATGTTCATGTTCGGAAAAGCCTACCACCAGCCCATCAGGTATGACAATGAAGAAGCCAGACAGAGCTAAAGGCCCATCAGCAAGAGACAATGAGCTGTGCAAGAACTTGATTTTCCTGTTATCATAAGGATCAGCCTGCAAGAAATGGCTACAAGCTCTGCAACATCCATCTTGGTTTCTGTACTTTTCCACAATAAGGAAAGGGGGAGTCAGATTTGGGAGACAAAGCATTCCTACCTTAGGCAAATCCTATTAAGGGTGGGGAATGAGGTAATCCAAGTTCTCTGTTCTCCATTGACATCTTACTCAAGAGGACTGCTGGAAGCATCTAAGGGCTTGTATACACTGGCAAGTTACTGCACTGTAACTTTCTCACTCAAGGGTGTGAACCCCTTCCCCAAGTGCAACAAGTTACAGCACTGTGAAGCGCCAGTGTAAAGATGCTCCCAGCGCTGGGCTCCCAGTGCTGTTAGCTACTCCCCTAGTAGGGATGTTAAAATGAGTTAAATTAAGAAATGGTCTAGCCACTGAAAATGTCAGTGGTTATATGGTTACATGTGGGGCAGCAATCGGCTCTCCAGAAACCGATATGCGTGGAGAGCCGACTTTTAAGTCAGCTCCGTGTGCATACCGGGAACCTGCATGTAACCATAATGGTTAACCAATTAGCTCAGGCTTGTCAGTTAACCATGTACCCAGTTATGCTTTCACATCCCTATCCCTAGTGGAGTAATGTACCTAGAGCATTGGGAGAGTTCTTTCCCAGTGTTGGTGCCAAGACCACATAACTGCATTAAAGTGCTGCTGCAGCAGCGCTTTAAAACTTGGAAGTGTAGACAAAGCCTAAGGTTGAACAGGGGGAAATATTGGACTCAGAATGGAAAGACATCCAGTCTAGGTAGAGATGATTAGATCATCTAGAGCGAGAATTTACATGTAACCAATTTCTTTAGAGTATTAAGCTTAATTTGCGTATTCTGTTTTGTTTTGCTTAGTAACCTATTTTGTTCTATGTACTAGCTCTGCAAAGGACAAAACAGAACCAATGGGAGCCACGGGGCTCTGTGGCCACTGCACCAGTACATAAACAAACCGGGGCGGCTAGTTAAAGTGTTTCTGAAAGTGTTTCTGCGGTACACTTTCAGAAACACTGGTCTAGATGGTACTGGGTCATGCTGTGAGGTCAGGGGACTGGACTTGATGATTGCTCGAGGTTCCTTCCAGTTCTAGTGTTCTATGATTCTATACTGCTTTCGGTCTGTCTCTCAAGTGAAGCAAACTGGAGAGCTAAGCTTAACAAGACAGGGTTACAGGGTGCCCAATTTGTCAGGGGAAGCAGGCTCAGTGGTATCTCAGCACATTATGTGACAGTCCCAAGAAGGCCCCGACCCATCAAATTCTCTAGCATAATTAACAGGAAGTTGCTATGGTCAATATGGACTAGGGATGTTAAATGTTGGTTAATTGAATAGTCGAGTAATCTCATGAAATTTTATCAGTTAGTCCACTATTCTATTGTCCCTAGGGGCAGGGCTGGCAGTAACTGTATCAGAGGCAGCAGTTTGGGATGCTAAGTGGGAGCTGGTCTGCCAGTTTAAAAAAACCCCTCAGGGACTGGCTGCCTGTCACCCTGTGCTGCTGCTTCTGAGAAATAGGCAGCAGCACAGGGTGGCAGCAGTCCCTGTCTAGGGGGCAGGGGTCTGAGCTCCTGGACCCAGCAGGAGCTGGAACTGATTTGGGCTGCCTGCCCGCCTGGCTCTTAATAGACTTGAAATGCAGAGCTGAAACAGAGGTAGGTCCTGGACCCAGCATGAGACAGGACTGAGCAGGGCTGCCTGCCTGCCCAGCTCCTAATACACTTTAAATGCAGAGCAGCAACAGAGGTAGGATCTGTCGCAAGCCAGGACTGAGCCAGGCTGCTAAAAATTTACTGGTGGGGAGAGGGAAATGCATGTAGTCTATAGTAGAGATGTTAAATATCAGTTAATTAAATAGTTGATTAACATCATGAATTCCTATTGTTTAGTTGACTATTCTATAGTCCCCAGGCAGCTCCTGTCCAGGGAGAGGGGTCTGAGTTCCCGGACCCGGTACAAGCCAGAACTGAGCTGGGCTGCCTGCCCACCTAGCTCCGAATACACTTTAAATGCAGAGCCGCAGCGAGGGTAAGTCCAGGACCCAGTGCAAGCCAGGACTGACCTGGGCTGCTGATCAGCCTGCTAAGAAGTATACTGGCTGTACGGGGAGATTTCAGCAACTCCAATAATGTGCCTGAACCACTACTGCTTACAAGCCCAAAATAGGCCTAGACAGCATGACCAAGTCAGAGAGTGGAAAGAAGGGGAGTTTGGGTGCCACAGAGAGGGCAGCCTGACCCCGCGTCCTTCCTGAGGCCCAAATCTCTAGTGAAATCGCTGACCTATACATTTAGAAAACCAGGAAGTTTGTCTAAATGCCCTAAGACATATATCTCTGTCAGGGCCCCCGAGCATGGAGTCTGAAAAAGAAAAAACACATCTGGGGAAAGTGATGATCAGAATCATAGAATCATAGAATACTAGGACTGGAAGGGACTTTGAGAGGTCATCAAGTCCAGTCCCCTGCCCTCATGGCAGGACCAAATACTGTCTAGACCATCCCTGATAGACATTTATCTAAACTACTCTTAAATATCTCCACAGATGCAGATTCCACAACCTCCCTGGGCAATTTATTCCAGTGTTTGACTACCCTGACAATTAGGAACTTTTTCCTAATGTCCAACCTAAACCTCTTTGCTGCAGTTTAAGCCCATTGCTTCTTGATCTATCCCCAGAGGCCAAGATGAACAAGTTTTCTCCCTCCTCCTCATGACACCCTTTTAGATATCTGAAAACTGCTATCATGTCCCCCCTCAATCTTCTCTTTTCTAAACTAAACAAACCCAATTCCTTCAGCCTTCCCTCATAGGTCATGTTCTCTAGACCTTTAATCATTCTTGTTGCTCTTCTCCAATTTCTCCACGTCTTTCTTGAAATGCAGTGGCCAGAACAGAACACAATACTCCAACTGAGGCCTAACTAGCGCAGAGTAGAGTGGAAGAATGACTTCTCGTGTCTTGCCCACAACACACCTGTTAATGCATCCCAGAATCATGTTTGCTTTCTTTGCAACAGCATCACACTGCTGATTCATATTCAGCTTGTGGTCCACTATAACCCCTAGATCCCTTTCTGCCGTACTCCTTCCTAGAAAGTTGCTTCCCATTCTGTAAGTGTGAAACTGATTGTTCCTTCCTAAGTGGAGCACTTTGCATTTGTCTTTATTAAACTTCATCCTAT